CACTGGCGCTTCCGGTGGCGCAGATTCCACGCTCAAGTTCAAGGTAGTGCGTCAGCCATTTTTGGTAGAGCGCCTCGTCATCAAGGAGCTGTCGGGTCGCGACAACGCCGCACTGGCTGTCGTTTATCTGTCCGAATTCAAGACTGCTACCTCGGCTTTTATCCTCCAGGCTGTTGATGCCAAGTCCTGCAAGGTGAATAAGATTATTCGGATTTTCACCTTTTTTTTTCCCCATTGAGAAGTTTGAGGATTACGAAGGGTAGAGTTTGGGGGCAGAAAAAAAAAGTGCAACTACTGGGCAATTTTATGAGAGATGATACTGTATATAAGAAACCCGAAACTTTTGTCTGGTGAATTAAGGTGAAGATTCTGATTTACAGAATTTTGTCATTGAAATGCTTGAGAAAGTCTCCAGGAAGGCACAAAAGAAAGAGCGAAGATTCGGAAATTCGCTGAGAGATAATTCAAGAAAACAAGGATTCGACAGTTTTCTATAAATCATTCATATGCCGTATTCAAGTACAATACAGTATACATTACTTTCCTTGCATCTTGTACATGATGATGCTTCGACATTTTTCAAAGCAACTAAAGTATAGTGTTTTTCAGATGATCAAGCTGAAATATTTGGCTAACGAGTCTGAATCGCACTGTATCGTGCGCCTAAAGCTCTTCCATACTTTACATATGAAAAAAGTGAATTATTATAGACATTTATTTACTAAAAGAATAAATAATTACACACAGGGGTCGATAAATATCACTAACGTTAATAATTAAATAGCATACCGTAGCGTAAAACTAGTTACAATCGGGAGAACCAGCAGTTTTATCAATAAAATATGACAGAAAGCAACGATCCGAAGAAAAAAGCATTTCATACTGCCTTCTCATGACAATGAAGACATTTCCATAAACCTTGTCGATCAAAGTTTATATCAAGTCTAATACGAGATTGCAAACTAAGCGACCATTTTATATAACTTAATAAATTCCATTACTACATGCCTAAAGTACTACACTTTTTAAGTTGAGTAAAGTTAAATGAAACTCTTGCGTGATTTCCGTGAGCGATTCATCGAAATTTCAAAAGCTGTAAACGGTGTCTTCTATTATTCAGTGATAATATACAGTACTTGAACTTTTTTTCCCGAACGATCAAGAAATAAGCTTCACAAGCGGAATTTCCGGCTCGTTTTCTTCCGTGAAAAATATCCTTAACGTTATTCTTTGGTATAAAAATCGTCTCCTCTTTAAAATTGCGCGATTAATGTTCAGCAATTCTATTCATTTCTTCGGAATTCATTGTGCGTATTTTAATCATCAAATTTTATGATTGTATGTTCGGTGCATAAATATATTGTCTCGGCAGGTTTGGTGCGACTGTTTCCGCAAGGCGCGGGACAATTACGTGGAAGCTAAGTCAGCAGCGACATCTAAGGCCTCTCAGGTGATGTCGATGTCGACGACGACTATGTTAGATGGCGGACCTCTCGCGCCACAGGCGTTGATGACGTCAGTGCCGTCGTTCGCGTCCGACGACGGCGACGGTCTGCACTTGCTGCCTTGTCCGAATGCCTATTCCCCTGCCCGGTCACCGGCGCCGTCGTCGAGACCCAGTCGGGGTTCGTCTCTGGCCCGGTCACACAGGTTCGTTTCACCTCTTCATCAATCACACCATTCATAAGTATGGTGCATGATTTCATCAAGTTTTTTTTTTTATTAAAATGGCGGACCAAACTGGATGAGAGAGCTGGAAAAAATGCAAAAATATCGTGAGATTTTTTTCTCTCTGCTGGAGGATGCCCTCTTTTCAAAAATACTTTCGAGTCACTGGGATGAATAAGAAAATTACGATTTTTTTCCTTGAAGTGAAAAAGTGCGCAACATTTGCTTTAATGGAGGTTTTTTTAATTAAAAATATCGAAGAAACGGAAAATTGAAAGAAAATTATTTATTCTGCCTTTCGTTGAGTTTTTGTTCTTTCAAAATCCGTCGTTCATCCAGCCTGTGGAAATTATTTTGATCTACTGCTTCTTGAAAACGAGATATTTTCATCATTTTTACAGGCGTACAAAAATAGCAAATCTGCTAAAAAAAATCTCCGCCTTTTTTCTTTCTGTAGAAATCATTTTTGTACACCAAGTGTTCTATAATTTAGAATAGAACGATGATTAACTCGCCTGAAAATTACAAAAATTATAAAGTTTCATACCGAAATTGCAGGAACTCTCATAGAAAATACTCGAGCCCCCCCCCCCTTTTCTTTGTCAATGATTCAAAATCCCACGAAAAAAAAATGATTTTAAAAATCGAAGCCGTGGGTAAGAAGTTGTTTTTTACCAAGGTTTTTCAAATCCGAGACTGAATCTTCAAAACAACAACAAATTTACTCAATTAAAAGACTTTTATTGTACCTTTGGTTTGTGACCACCTTGTTCTATGCTTCTTTTTTTTTTTAGCATTCGTCCCTCTCTCTTTTGTAATTTTTTTTGGCATCATGTAATAAGATGTTCATTATTTATATAAAATACTTCGACTTCATCGAAGGAAGTCACAAGAAGCACATTAAATAATGGAATGCTCAAGTGCGTGGAACAGGGAAGTAAACGTACGCAAACATTGGTCAATTCTTAAAAAAATACTGTATTTTTATGTTGTGCGAATTCCAGCGGATCGATGGATATTCAATGCGATGCGATGAGCGAGGCGAATGACACTTCAGCAGCTTCGCGAGGCGCCCAAACCGGAGTCATGTCCGCCTGGTCTTAACAATTTGGACACATCCTCAGAGCGAGAACGCTGTCAGAATCTTGCCAACCGCAACCAACGCCCATCATTCAACAGTTCCCGGTCGCTGCTTCGCCTCCTCGCGAAAGGCGAGTGCTGATTTATTTTTAAAAAAAAAATCAATAAATCAGGTTGATCTAAGAGTCAGAATCCTTTTTGAGCTTAAATTGAAGATAACGTGCCTGGGGATGCCGTGGATGATTCAAGAGTTTGAGCTAATTGTGATCATTGGCTAAGAATTTTCTCGCGATCCACATGCAACAGCCCGGACTCGACATTTTATATAGAATATATTTATTTATTGTTTGACATTTTATATTTAAGGGAAGTCATAAAATTCATCAAATCACATATGCAATGTGATCACGATTATTAGTAGGATTGTCATTTACCTGAAGATTGTTTTCAGACCTGGGGCGGTTTTTTTTTTCTCAATCCTCTGAAATTTTTATGGCTCTTTTTGAAGTTACCGAAACTGTTTTCAACATCGAAGTATTTAAGGTGAATCCCGCAAATATCTTCTCACGTTTATAGGGCTAACCTTTCCAATGGCTACCTTCTGTAAATTTGAAATTGTTCGAGAAAAATTTAGGAACGAGAAGGGCAGGAAAAGATACAGTACAGTATTTTTTTAGTGTAAAGATTAGACTCAAACAAAGTGAGAATGATTAAACTCGCATTTCCTTAAGAAAACTTGACCGCGTAAATATGCTTGTCTTATTTTAGCTTTCAAAAAATTAAAGTCGAAGAAATAGACAATTTGTTTTCTCTTGCGCTTCACAGTTGACATTTAAATTACATTGAAATTCAATCCTCACCTCCAGTTTTTTTTTACTTTCTCCTGACAAAGTTCTAACGCCCTGTTTTGTTCGAGCTGCCATATTTCTTGTCTCCAGATATCCGTTGGTCATTTTTGCCAGTTCGTGTGCGGGTGAAGTGAGAGTAATTTAGGATTTAGGTTACAAATATTTCTCCATAGGGTGCTCCCAATTACTGTATTGTCTATAAATTTTGCACGAAAAAATAATAATCGTTGTGCAGAATCCAAAATCGGCATGAATTGTGTCAATATTAAATCGGACGTCCTCTTTCATCATCAGGAGGCCCATGGGAAGCAGTCCGATGAAAGCTCGGTCGTTGTTGGGACCCAGTGCACCCGCAGTGAGTTTACCAACGTCGCCGCATTTGAGTCCAGCGAATCAACTGCAGCAAACACAACAAATGCACTCTGGCCTGTCGCATCTATCCGTCCTGTACACATTGCCTTCGGGACAGTCCATGCCTGATTTACAGGTAAATAAACTCATTTTTTAATATTGAAATTTCAGAAACTGCAATATGAAGAACTTGTGCGTATCTTAAAATGAAAGTGAAAAAAACAATAGCATATACTGACAATGATTTTTTTGTTTGTTTTTTTTTGGAAGAGGGACACTCCAGAGGATTTATTTTCAGGTCATTATGGTACAGTGGCTGGGAATTGATTCAATTTTTTTGGCGAATTCATCAAATTTAAAAAGGATGATGAATTGATGAAAGGAAAACTTTTTTTCTGCTTTTCAGCGTTCACGAGGTTCCATCAACATTCCCACATCCAAACCGTCTCCCCATCCAACCCGAATCCATTCAAATGCATTCAATCACTTCAGAATGGGCAACAGAGAAATAAGCTGTATATGGATACCAAAATAAAAGAAAATACATTCCACAATGTGCAACTGCACAACTGATGTGTATGCGTGCATCCCCTTCTTTCCCTGAGGTTTAAAACAAAATATCATTAACAAGAATTGCAGCATAAGTCAGAATTATCAGCAGTTACTGAAAAGGGATGATTATCAAAACCTTGATAAACTTGATTTGGGTTGGGTGGGAAGGGGGTTTGGATGTGAAAATCTTGATTGTTGAACCTTGTGAATGCTGAAAAGCGGCAAATAAAGTGTTCTGTTCATTCATTCATTCAAAACCTTCTGCTTATTTCTCTCTTTTGGATTCTGAAATGATTGAATGGATTTGGGTTGAGTGGGAATGGGGTTTGGATGTGGGAATGTTGATTGAACCTTGTGAATGCTGAGAAGCGGCAAATAAAGTGTTCTGTTCATTCATTCATTCAAAACCTGGAATTTCCACACTCAACAGTCTTCAGAAATCGATTGACCAATTTGCCCTTTTTTCAAATTTTCATGAAGCATATGAAAAAATCATCGGTGCGTGAATTGTGTATATCAGCGTATCTTATTTTTTAAGCGCATATCTTATATTCTCCAATGCCGTACTTTTCATCAATTTTTCGTGAATTGTGTATATGATTTGCGCGTATCTTATTTTTGAAGCGTATATCTTATATTCTTCAATGCCGTATTTTTCATCAATTTTTCCGGAGGCGTGTCATAAGAATAGTTTATGCATTTTAATTAGGGTTGTTGAAAAATCGTGCATATTTTCACGTATGCCCTTCTGCTAAACTGCGTTGTGGTACAGTGAGAAAAATCGGTTTCACCAGAAAAAAAAATGTTCAATGGTTATAGCTCTTTGTGAGGCTGATACCTGATGCTGGTTTTTCCCCCCCTTTTGCAGAATGCGGTTCAGAAGCAAATTCCGAACATGCTTACGATTCCTGGGCAAGGAAACGAACCTTGTGATCCTTGCGGACGGCCGCCATCTCCGGGGTCGCAAGTCCGCATGCTGAGTCCCACAACCCGAGGGATTTCCTATCCTCCGCCTTCTTCACGGTTAGTAAAAGAAGAAAAAAATGAAAATATGTGAAATTGCGATGTCTTTTCATTTTATTTAATTTTTTTAAATGAAACTCGCTGATTCTCAGATCGCTGAAGAGAACGATGCCAGTGCCTCAAAGCCGGTTCCCGCCGTTGCGGAAGGCAGACAGAGTGGCTTCGGAAGGACGCGCGAATCTCGGCCCTGTTTCCATGTCCGACTCGAACACGTCATCGTCATCATCGCAGCAGCAAAGCACGAACCCGTTCGCACCTGGGTTCAATGACGGCACCCCGGAGAGAACCAGCAGCCCGATCGATGACTTCTGTTCCGGGGTTGATCGTATCGGCGCGGGTAACGGGAACAATCGACGACGACCCGTGAGAGCCGAGGAGCGAAGGTATCTGACTGCAGGTGCTGTCGAAGATATCAAGGTGAGAGAATCTGAATGTGCAGTAATGTACTGTATAATCTCATTTATTCAGTTCCAGTGGTCTGCAGAATATCTGCATCCTGCTGTTTGATTGATTCACTGATAAATACGCTCTGTTTTCCACTTGTCATTTTTCACAAGGTTCAAAAAGTTTTGCATGAGAATTTGACGCATCCATTCAAAAATGAAGAAAATATTTTCATAATCACAGCGCATGCAAATGCATGAATTCTTTGATTGGTGCCCTTTTTCGACAAAAATGCACAGCACCCAGGAATTATTAAACTATTTTAAAGCACAATAAGGTGTTCAGCCTGTTCCCAGATAATTAGAAATGGATTGCATTATTTAGAAAGAATCTCTGAGGAGAAATTGTACAGGGCTAACACTTTTACCTACGCTAGCATTTTTCCATCTTATTTCAATGAGTTGAAATGCTGTAATTCCAAGGGAAAAAATTAGCAGTAAATAACTTGCGGTTATTTAGCAGAGTTTGGGAAAAATCTTAAGAGGAAGCAAGTAATTTAGATCAGGGAAAAAACTGTGTATGTGTTTGATTGTCACATGATCACCAGGAATTCCTGGCAATCACCTGATGCTGTTTTCTGCTCTGCAACTTTTTTTTGACCCCCTGCGCGTTTTTCGGGACACAGAGTGCCAAATTGTATCCTAAAAACATGACCATGCTTATTATATTCTGGAAATATTGTACAGTTCAACCTCACCAAATACTCCCCTAATAACCATTTTTTTTCAATTCCTCATATGGAATCTCTCAGAAAATGCATTAAAAACCTCTCTAACTCGAAGGCTTTTCCTCTCAAACCCCGGGAAGTTGAATTTTCTGAGGCCTTTTTGCTTTTATTTTATTGACACAGGAGACAGAAAAGCAATCAAAATTGAACTTGATGTGTTTTGAAAGGAATAAGTCAAAGGATAATTGGGTAAATGAACCCTTGCCTTGAAGTCCATCATCCTGTGAACTTATTCAAGTAGCAATTTTAGGCCCAGAATATTTGCATTTACAATTTCCAGCAATTCCCATTTCTTTCGGTCAACAAAAATGCTTGTTTCCCACTTTCAAAAGTTGATTTTTTTATTTTCCCTTGAAATTCGACTGGAAGAGGTTCCACTGATTTAATACAATAATACACTGTATAATTTTTTTTTTAATTCCTTCAGAAACATCAAAGCATGAAGGACAGTAGCATTCACAAGCGCCTCTCGCTCAACTACTCGAGCGGTTCGTCCTCATCGACCCTCGGGGCAGGGTC